CCCCAAAACCCCAAAACCCCAAAACCCCAAAACCCCTAAATCCTATTTAAATATTGAAGCTCTTTCTGTCTTAATTAAATTAGAAAATGGGTTGCGGTTCTTCTAATGATAGCCAAAAAGGTAGGAGCCAAAATATGTTCTTGCAAATCATATTTTCATAGTTGAAAGAGAGATTAGAGAGGCAATGGAGCAATATAGCCCTAGAAAAAGGACTCATAAAATTGAAACCCTTCTTAAATGTTCCAAGTTATCGCATAAGGAGAAGATCAAAAGAGAAGAAAATAATATCGAAGCTATTGAGCTAGATGGTTATCATGTCGAAGTTCTTAGAACTTGTAAATTACTGAAAATCACTCCTAAGTGTGTGGTGTTTGATTTAAGAATTATCCTAGCTGCTTAGTTCTGGTAGTGTCTGCTGGTAGAGACTCTGAAATTAAGTTCTGGGATCCTAAATCAGGGAATGAGGTATACACAATTCAGTCATATTATAATGCTATTAACAAGGTTCGCTGGAATAAGAACGGTAATTGGTGCCTGAGTGGGTCTAAAGATACCTCGACCAAGATTTACGATGTCAGGGTCATGAAAGATTTCATAACTTTCCAGGCTCATGAAGATGAAATTAATGCACTTGAATGGCATCCAGACTGCGAAGAGCTCTTTGTCAGTGGAGGAGGTGATGGAATGGTTGTATTCTGGATGGCAAATGAAGGTGAAGCTTACTATAAAATTGATAAAGCACATTACAGAGCATGCTGGGACCTTGCTTGGCACCCTATGGGAAACTGCCTAGCAACTGCAGGCAATGATACCTTCTTACAACTCTGTCAAGACCAAAGCCTGGTGAAGGACTTGAAGATCCAAAAATTAGGCTTGATGAACGGGTTGCCGAAATGAACCAAGCAAAGCCTGCTGGTATGTATGGAGGATCTAAACTATTTGCTGATAAGAGCTACATCAGTCACAAGAAAGCCCAGTCGTTGGCTAAGAGTAAGGAGAATCTCCAAAGAGGCCCTAAAAGAATGTAGCTCTTGTAATACATGAACTCTGATATCTTCAATATTTATGAACTAATTTTTGAAAATATCAATCATATATTTTAAAATGGGGTTTTGGGGTTTTGGGGTTTTGGGGTTTTGGGGTTTTGGGGTTTTGGGGTTTTGGGG